CATGAGTATCGTGGAGATACCGGTCAAGCAATGCGGTGGTTAGGCACATAATTTTAGGTATCGCGGCCCTTCACTGGAACACGCCGTCGAGCTCCATAGATTACGCTGATTTGAACATGTGCTGTGCATGTCACCAAATAAGTTATCACGGCGCGAGATGTTTGCATAGGCAGATAGTAGGTGCACCATGTCAAGGGTGACCAAAATAGGACTTGGCACTAGGATATGAAAACTCTAGCCATGAGATGTAGTCACGTAGGTCGCGTTAGACTTCCTGAATGGGGACCTCGGGATAAACTTAACCGCTGGTTAAAGCCCCTGAATAACAGTTGAGTGTCGTAAACGATGGCATTCGCGCATGTTTTCAGTTTCTATTCTACCTTGGACCACTGATTTGCCCCAATTTCTGTTCGGATCTACCTTCAACTTTCCTGTTTTTCTCCTGTTGCTCCATCGACATATGCAGCCAAAAGATAGCAACCAAAACCGGTGCACGAAAGTGCATGGTCAATGGTTGTACAAATTGAACTGAACTGTACGCAGTGTGGAAGATTGCATTATCTTCAACAATAAACAGACTACTCAAATCAGATTACTTCAAACTATCAGCAAAAATAAGTTTAATCGGTTTAATCCTAACTGCCGATGGTGCCACTGCTAAATGTTCATTTCGAAGCAGTGATATTATTCCCGGGAAAAACCCATTCATTGGAGTGAATGGTTTCTTCTTATTGCTGGTACGCGTCTCCTTAGATAGGATCTTCCAAAGATGACTCTGGCCTTCCGGGACTAGAGAAAGTCACAAAAAATAAATCCCTCTGTAGTAACTTCAAATTGATAGTGAAAAATGCGTGACAGCTAGCAAGACATGTGCTCCACCAGTTTTGTATGTATGCTTGGGGGCATGAAAGCAGGTATTAGTTGCTTGGAGCATTCATTTCTGCTGTCTTCACCCTAGCAGAACAGACAACATTGGGATTTTGCTTCACACAGCTAAGGTTCCAACCCTTTTTATATCGAGAATAGTTCCGGTGAGATCGCACTACACTGCTTTGAGCTGGATTTTAGTAAACATTTCCTTGTTATTAGCTAGTTGTAAATTGTTTCAAGATCACTCCTATTAGATAGTTAGTAAATGTGATCGTATTTGTTTTGCTACCGCTGTTCTAGTTCAAGGTTTCTGTTAAGGCATAGGACAAATTATATCCGATTGCAGGTAACTGAAGGAACTGTCTTCATTGTTGACAATAACTACTTCTGCTTCTCCTTATCAGTTAGACACCCGGAAACGGTTATCGATTTCCCTCTTTGAGTTTGCCATCACGAATCTGAAAGTTCGTGAACATTACAGTTTTCTGTTCGGAGAAGACTCACAAAATTATCTTGGGTGCTGAATAGGTACAAAGAGGATTCTCAGTGGGTGATTACCTTTCACGCACCTAATATAACACTCTATAATGCAACCGGTATACACAATTGATGAATAATTCCAAATGGAACAGAAGTGTAATCAACGTAACGTAAGGCATTCTTTTGCACAGGGTCTTACTAAACGGCGACCAAGTAGCTTCAAAAATGTTGACCAGAAAGCTTTCATGAATTTCTCGATTTTTACCGAATTCCGATAATGAGAAGATATTGGATCTAAAATTTAAAGCTGACAAAACAATGGCCTCCCTTTTAATTAATCATGTGATGAAGGATTACTCAAAAATCATTTATTCTGCAAAATATTCTCAAGTTGAACTATCATCAACGCTTTTGTCCTGGTGCCAGTTGACAAAAATGAGCAGTGAACTGATCCTTTTGAAATCAAGATTACTTTTCACACCGAACTCATTACTGAGATACGTGCATGAATGAAATTAACTCGTAGCCCTATGAAACGAGCTATTATTATGGATTTCTGTTGTTATTGGTTTGTTAAGAGATATTTTCTTCCTAACTGAAATCTTGTGCCCTACATATAAGATAAAAGAGGCTTCAGCAATGAAAAACGTAGACGAGTGAGCGTATTCCGTGGAAGTGCATGCGTTTAGTTGCTGTTATAAATACCAGAAAGTGAACACTTTTAGGCATGGGTGTGTAATTTGAGAACCCATCAGGGGAATAGGACACTATTAACTGGTGAAACACATGCATTTGCATATATTCCTATCTGACACTCACCCCCGCCATTTTTATAGCACAAATAGGGGAAACGCCACACATTGCCCAAGCCGACTGCATACCCGATGCAGGTCATGATGAATTCGCACTTTCCTCCCCAACTGCCTCTATCCATTCGGGGTGGTGCATCATACGTGATATCGATCTCTTCACCGCCGTCATCACGTACCACCATTGCGTGCTGAACAAGTTGAGAGCATAAAGGCATAAGGGAGAGGCGATAGGAGAAAGTGTGAAAAGCGGTACAGGGACTCCCGGGAATGTAAACTCTCCAGGTGTCATTCATAAACGGTAGTACAAAACATTTACCATGTAAAAGGAATGTTCCAGGGAAAAAATAAATTATGCTACCACACACGAATAACCACTAAATAACTCTTGCCTAGTGACATAACTAAATTCAAGGTTCATGCACAACAATGGGTGAATGCTCGGCATCAAATGCACATCTGTTTTCTTTCTCAGAACGATTCAGCACTTGATTTTTACTCGGGCAAGTGGAATCGGACCCACATCACGCATAAAACAAGCTTAAGCCTATCGTCATACAGTGTGACTTTGTCCGTATGCAAATTTAGTTTCCGTAATTAGTTTACTACTTTTATGTTGGAAATTTTGTCCGCGTTTAACTAAATGATAAAATAATAAAAGTGGGACACTGAAAATCTGGAGGAAGTGATTCAGTAGCGAAAGCAACACAAAGATGCAAAAGGTAAGTGTGTTCCGAAGAAGCAGTTTCTGTCCACGAGAAATTCGTAATTTCTATTGTGTCTAGCGGCACTAATTAAGTTCTTTATTTCCTTATTTTGTAGTCAAATCCGATCAGAAATCTAAGCTTACACTTGAGGTTCTGACTGCTATGGACCACCGTAGGCACTGACTCATGGTCCCGAAAAATCTGAATTAAAGCGGCTGTTTTGTTTTCTTGTGAAATATGGTTGTTCAAACTTAGTCATATAATATTACCTGGCCCAAATTGAATACGAAATTTATATAAAGCTAGTTTATAACCAGATACGAATCACAATAAAGCTTGCAAGTAAGGAAAATAATTTTCATTTGTATGGTACTACGTGTTCACTGCTACTCGAATGCTTTGCTGTCTGATAGAAGTTTATAATGAAGATGTCCATACCAAAAATAGTTAACATTAAACGCAATTTAAAAATAGATTTATTATTATATTTCACACACGTTTGAGAGTTGATCTACTTTCAAATTTACATCAGGTCGTTTTTAGTTTTGTTGTTTGGCAAGGAAGATTAGCCACAAAACTACGGTGAGGAATTAAGAATTTATGCCTAAAACACAGGTTCACTCGGTGAACATCTTGCTGAAAGCTGTCCTGCACAGTCCCCACAAATTGTCACTGCCAACACTTCCCCATCAATTTGCTCATGAGATCATTCTTCTGGATTACTTTTTCACTTGATGTATTCTAGGTATGCTACATCCTCTCAGGATGTTTTGTGCATTAGTTTGGCTTTAGACAATTTACTAAGTTAATCATGGTCAAAAAGTGATCGTGCACGGAGAAATGCAACAGTAACGTCATAAGAGAAAGAACAAACGTTGAGTGACTTCACCACATCCGATTGAGTAACTAATTGCCTTTTGTTCACAGTTTTCGAAACATTTCGTATCCTGATCAAGGTATGCTTAATCGGCGTGATTCAAGTTATAATTTAAGATATACCAACGTCAGTCCGGCCGTCTTGTCACCATGTGGATAGCATTCCGTCAAGTAAAATGAAGATTCTATGAATCAAAATGTTCGAACAATTGAGAGATTAACGGATTCCCACAAGGGTTGTGTTTGCGAGAACTGCAGGACGGATTGTGATGGAGCATACGGAGCACATGGACAGGACAAATCCAAAGAAATGGAACTCCTCACATGACAGTGAGAATGATCATGAGCTGATCTCCGCCAAGTAGCAACTGGGATGCCAAATACGCACATGCGCGTGAGTCTATTTGTTTTAATTTACAAATTAAATAGTAGACTACGCTGTTTTTATTAAGTCAGTGTGCAGGATTTTCACCTAATTCCGGCAGGGGTCAACTCAGAGTCTCGTCTTTGTACACCAGAAAGTAAATTATAGGTAGTACAAACATCTTGATTTGATACTGAGGAATTGTCCACTGGAAAAAACATGCAGTTCTATATGGTCCCTTGCTTACTTTTAAATGATCACTCAAATGCTCACTGGGATGTTTTTCAGAGATAGCAATTTGGGGCTTATGGTTACTCTTTAGTGATAGGATTTGCAGTTTGATGTTTGTGTTTTGCTTTTTACTTCTCGTATCTTGATTTCGTACCATTCAATCTTCACCTTCAGATAGGAGTTTATTCTTCTGTCTAACTTTATCATGCTAAATTATAAAATTTTGATCTAAATTTTGACCATAATGCATCAATAATTATATTTGAACATTCTGTCAATGGCATTTGAGTGAAACAAGTCTTCGAATAAATGTGACTCAAGGAAAATCTTATTGCATCTAGTTTTCTATTTCCTTCCTATTCAGCAGAGTAGATGAACGTAATACTATTTCATTTCTAATAATTTCTTATTCGAACCAATAAACCACCTAATAATGCAATTACTGAATAACAAACATACTATTTTAGTTTACTAACTGGTTTGTACAATGTATGCGACCAATGAAACAAAGTGAACATAAACAAGACGATTTGTTCATACAAAATGTTTAAAAAGCAAACAGTTCTGAGATTGTTAACAAGCTAGTAGTCATTCAGTACTATCTATATATAACAATTTAAATCAGTGTTCGAAAACTTCAAGTATAACATGAAAGATGCTTGTTGTGTATTTGGCATAACAAGTTCCCGAGTGCCCCGAAAGCTCACCAATTTAAACGATATATACCGAGAATCACCAATTTTATTCAAAATTCAAATAGTGAGAGGAAGATAATTTGTATTCTTTCCTCTGGGGGTTTCAAAACACAAATTATCTTCCAAAAGGCCTTAGTTACGAAGCATCGGAGCTGGAAAGTACGGAGGGAGCTTGAACAAAACACATGAAACTACCTTAGGTACCCTATTGATGCTTCCGTAATGCGCTTCAAATTCTTATGACTCTCGCTTTGTTCTAGATCAGACGGTCTCGCAAGCATATAGGAACACAATCTACGTGGCGATAGTTTAAACGATTCGCTGTCAATTTTAGGATATGCAGTAAGCGCCTGAGAAAGTTTGGTGCATTTAACACGAAAGCTTTTCTTGAGAAAGACGTTATTTCACATTACAACACCAATCACACTGACGGAAACATGTGATTGAGAAAAGAGACAACCGACGTCCTGTCTGTAAAATTGGACTAATTTTAGCGTCTCTTTGCATGATCACAAGTGTTTCTTTCACAAAACTATCCCGTTTAGATCACACGATTTGAAGTGCGCACAGGACATCATCTCACACAAAAGTGCATTCTCGTCACGAAAGATTTTACGTGTGTACCGGAATTTTCAGTATTAAAGTTTCCACATCATACAGCTCCAGGCTACTTATAAAAGTGTGGAGTTTTTCCATCCACACTTTGCACAAAATCACTGGCATCGAATGACCTGTAAATGTTTTTTTGGACAATCAAGAAACGATTTGCCAAGCTTCTGGTAGATACCCGTTTGCGAACTCCGTGTATTTTTCTATAGGCATATCCTAAAGGACAACTGTAGTAAGTAATTCTGGATAGTTTTAGCTACATCCACGGTTATTTTAGGAATGATTCTTACGTTATACACTTTTATACCTGTAAACAGGGGCCAACAGGGAACTCTACGTTATCGGGACAGGCAAACCTAACGAAAACTAAATCACGTTATGATAAAAGTCCAATGTCGTATGTGGAAGCATACGGCTGTTTTCGTCGAAGTACAGAACACACAATGTACGCCTAAATATCCCCAAACTGAATGAACATTCGAAAACTCAACTTTGGATACCACCATTAAATAGGCATTTGCCGTTTGAATAAAAAAATCGTAGTCACAAAAGTAAACAGGTAAACCGTAAAGGAATTCTTACATATGATGGCTAATGTATGAGAACTTATGAATTCTTTCTTATCGATCTTTTTGTTAACATACCAAATTAACTTGCAGTATCAATCGGAATGAAGCATTGGTAAGACAATTTGGATTAGATAGGCGACGAACTGTTCTGAACACCTGTTCCGTACCTATCGGAACGCAAACCACGAGCCTTTGAAAGTTAGAAATCCAGAAGAATGCTTCTGAGCTAAACGGTGCAGCAATAAGTTTTTTTTCTTTTATTGTGGATTTGAAGTCAGAAACCTTGAGGATTGTTTTGAGATTGTGAGAATCTCACTCTGAAGGTGTCCGGTGATTTCACATGTGATAATACATTTAAAGTTATATATATATATATATATATATATATATATATATATATAAAATTAGCAAGTGTTCAGTGTCACGTAATCATGAATTGCAATTCTGTGCAAACGGTTGTAACCCAGTTTGAGTTTTTGAT